TCACGCTATTTTTTTAGCAGTACCAAAAAGGCAAGAACGATTTACTCTATCTTCGGAAACTTTATTTTATGAACTTCAACTTCCGATTGCTGTTTCACTAATGATTTTCATTAACAGTTCGACTGACAATTGCCAGTCTTCATTAGGCCCAAAAATGAAGGTACATTGACTAAAGAAATGAGCTGCTCAGTGTGACAAATTGTTAATGAATACAAAAGTTTTCGCCATACTCATGACAATAGTACGATTTACGATAATGAAACCAATTAATCCACTGATGGATTTAAGTGGCAATTTATAATTTCTAGATGAATTAGGTATATCAGCGAAAATCAGTCGTACTTAATAAGCGACTTTTTGCGAATATTTCGTTTGCTCCGAGTTGCACCTATCAATTTATGGTTCGAAGGAGGACTGTAGAAAAAACCTCAACCATAAATAATTTTCAAATCGATGAATTTTTGAGTACATCATCAGTAAAAGGAGAACAGAAGCAACGGTTTGTTCAATAAAGAAATAAATAATTGCTGTCAAAAATCTTTGCGATTAATGTTTCTTCTTGAACATCTCTAAATTTTCGCACAAATTAGCTCCAAAGGCTGATTAATTAATCATCATTTTACTTTGTTATCGCGGTATTTACGGCGTTTTTGAAAAGGAAATGCTTGGAGGTAATATGCAAGTTATTCCGCCAGAGTTAGCGTTCGAATGCCAATATCTACCTTTCTGGGATTGTTCGAAACACTGTTTAGGAATTATAAGCATGGATTAAATGCGCGACTTAAATAACTTTTAGATCCATTTTACAGCAACGAGTACTACTTACCATTCGCGCAAACATTTCATGGAATACTTCATTAAAATACAGCTCAGCAACCTCCAAATTACAGATGCAACTAAGTAAATGATTTTCTAACTACGAGAACAGCTCACAAGTTAATCTAGTATCCCTCCGTATTACTACGTAGTTCTGACGCATTTTCGATGCAAATTGTTGCTTGTTTCAAAATATATAGTAATAAAATATAACAGCCACGAACTGCTTAAGATTCAACCTGTTTATCAACTCATTTTCTGTCTGCATGCTGTTGCCGCAATTGTTCGATCTAGCTAGGACTGACAACAATTCAATATTTTTGGTTGTTACTTACGATCATCGCAATGTACGGCCATGGAAAGGTGAAGTTCGCATTTACGTCTATAACGGAAAAAATTCAGGTCATTTTGCTCCTGGTCCTGATATTGGTCTAGATGTCCATTTGATAGTTAACAATGGAAGTATATATCGATTAAGCAGTAAAGACCTCGCAAAATACGTTCCCTGATCTGAATATTTATCAGTATTCTCACACTTTCGTGTCTTCTTCGATACGGCAAGAAACCAGTATACGAATGCTTTAGCTAATTGCCACAATTTGATAACATGTTGTTCATGAAACTTGAACTACAGATATACCCAGATGGGCTATGTAGATATACCAAGGTAGGCCATGTGACCCTGACAAGTTTTATCTGCTGTTGCGTCAAATTTGGGCGGTTAAAAATTTCTCGACAAGCCTAAGCCTAGCACCTACGCTATAATGCAAGCACAATAGTAACACGGCGTAATCTATAATCAACAGGCATCATATCAGCCGGATTACCCGGCATAATCGCAACATCTTTACTCCTACAGGCCTAATAGATTCTTCTGAAAAATTATAACTGCATCACTCTAAAATTATATCGCCTTGACAGTTAGAACAATTTGTTAGATCATCTATTTAAATACTTTGACTTATCTGTATACATTGATATCATTACTTAATGGATGTTTGCTTACAAACAGCGCCATGCAGATATAGGCTTAACTTTGGTTTGATTCTGGCCATTATCCCATGGAAGGATTGCTACCATTATGCATGTAGCCATCATGTGCATAAGTACCCACATTATAAGTACTCCTAATTATGGCGCATATCTCCTCCAAGACCAAATTTCACGACGCATCCTTGCGATTAGTTCCTTGTGAAGAGGTATTATTAAAACAGGCACACATCCACATCATACAATTTAATACAGTGCAAAGTACGAAAACTTTGACATTCGTAATTATGAACATGCATACATCAGACTGTTCGTACATTTCTAATTTATGCACAATAATTCGTGATTCTACTTAACAGAGCGAAAAAAAACAGTACTCGTAAACCTTGGCTCAACTGCGTAGATATTGCATTGACTTTTCCCTGACATATTAAAAATTTAATTTACTGTTCTAATTACTTCATAAATATATGCAGCCATATTTTCAAAATTTAGTCTTTACGAGTAAATTAATTAAAATAATTTACGCAAGTACTAATTTAAACATACAAATTATTGTACATAAACTTTTTTATAATTACAATTTTAAAGTTCCGTTAAGAAAATAATTTATCTTCACTTCTTAGCCCTTAAGGCTCTAAAATTTTCAGCAACTACACAAATTTCGAACACAACCGCGTTTATAAA